AAAGACCATGGCCTGTATCAGAAAAACCTTCATATACATGTGAAAAGTGGACAATGAATAAGGGAGAACTGATGTCTTTGAATTGTAGTACTCACAAAGAATACTAAATATATCATGGATTCTCAAAAGAACAAATTGGTCTTGAGAGAAGTGCTACCAGTCTGCTTCCTTGAAACAAGAATAGTGAGACATGTTTTGGGCACGATATCACGACAGGGTCATTTTCTGGAGAAGAACATCGTGCTTGGGAAGATGGAGGGTCTGTGAAAGAGAAGACAAATGTCTTCTTCTGTCTGTGTAAGATGGATTGACTAGAGCAATGGGTTTAAACGCCGCCATGGTTATAAGGATGGTGCATAATTGGGAAGAGTTTGATTAGGCTGTTCATAGGGTCACTACAAGTCAGAGTCTACTCAACAGCTTTTAATAAGAACAACAGGGAGTTTTGACTCCAGTCCCTGAGTACAAGTAGCTAGAATGCTTTGTAACTAACAGAAGGATTAAAAGTCTAGGTTCCCCCAGAAGCACCTTGGAAGAAAGACCTGGATATCATCTTTCCCTAAATCAGCCATTGGAAACCATGTGTAAAACACTTATACTCTGACCCACATGGGGCTGCCATCAGCCAGACTCCACTCAATCACAATTTGCCCCTGTTTTTAAACTACAAATGTCTGACGTATGAACTAATGGAGAGCAAATCCATCAGCCATGCTACTAGTTGCACAATGACCTATGCAGGCTATCAATGCTAATCTCTAAATGCAACTACATGTGAATTTCTCCTGCATGTAATCTTGTACTTCAAGGGATAAAGCTCAGTTGCCAGCATCATTTTTCCCACAAAATCTCTATAGTCAAGACATAGATTTTTACGAAGATAAATAAATATTTGATAAACAAATAATACATGACTATGTTCCTGGCCCATTAAATTGAGTAATTATTCCATTTTTCTTTGATACCTAATTTCTGTCGAGTATTTCTACCACCTCTTCCTATTCTCCTGGGACATTTTTCTTGGATATCTTGACTGAATCCAATGATGGGATAAGGCTGTGGTGCTGTAAGGGGTGAGAAGTTATACAGCCTACCCAAAGACTCATGATTAGAAATCACCAGCTACTTCTTGGAGAAAGATGGGCAATCTCCTCCCGTGTGATTTACAGCCTCTGAAGCCCTCTGGAGCATCAACTATGAATCAATTCCAACCCAAAGGCACATAATAACAACAGCTGAGTGTAGGATGCCACTTTAGGCTTCATTCAAATGGAAATTTTTTTATGTGTTAACCTTAACTCTTACTCAAAAACTCCTTTCCCCCCACAAATTTATGTCTCTATTTCTAAAAGGAAAGATTTTTTTAATGTTTTCTATTTTTTCAGTTAAGTGTAAGAGCACTTACCTCATCAAGAAATAATATTAGGATGTATTTCACCCTATACTTAAATTGAAATTATTAGTTCAATCACTTAGTTTCCGTAAGAATTGCTTCTACCAGCTTTTTTTTTCTTTGTCTCTATTTATAAAGCGTGTTCATGGTGGCATTGAGACATCCAGAGCCAGACCTTTTAAGGGATTATTTCACTTCTTGGGTAATTAAAGTAATTTAGCCTTTGGTGTAGAGTCTATGAATAGCACTTGAGGGATGAGGCATGTAATAATTAGCCAGAAAACCACTTACATGTATCATGGCTCAGTTATAGCATGCATTTAGAATGGCAGTAGACCAAATCAATATTGAAAACCAGAGCACACATCTATAGTAAATATTCTTAGGCCCACAACCAAAATTGGAGACTTACATTTCTTCTTATTAAAAAAAAAATCTTCTAATAAGTTAACCTGAAGGCCAAGCTTATAAAAATTTAACCTTGCTATGTGTGACCGTTTTTGTTTTAGTTCACTTTAAAAAAAAGAAAGAAAGAAAGAAAGAAAGTAGTAGGGATTTCTACATAACTGACGCTGATTATAGGTAATTATAAGGAAAATATATATCTTATGTTAGGCAAATATTTTCTTTATTATGAATGTGCTGTCTTATGTTTTTGCTTCTTGCTTAGTTTTTCTGGATCTTCAAAGTTTTCTTCCCTGAATAGGGTGCAGTCTCATACCTTTTTTATTGCTGTTTTGTGCCATCAAGTCAGACCAACCCATAGCTGACCCTCTAGTGGGTTTTCAGAGGCTGTAAATCACAGGGGAGGAGACTGCCCATCTTTCCCCTACAGAGCAGCTTGGGGGAGTGGGCAGTAGGGGTGAGACTCAAATCACCTGCTTTTGGGTTGGCAGCACAATTCTTCACCCATTAGGCCACTTTTCTGTTAGTGGAAAACATTTGTGCTTCAGTTGTCTGGCAAATGTCTCTTGAACACAGGTTTCCCTTTTCATACATAGATTTTACTATATGCACATGTATTTGTGTGTGTGTGTATATGCATACTTAGGTTAGCAGAGCCACTCCTTACTCACTAGGTCACCAAAGCCTTTGTGTGTGTGTGTGTGTGTGTGTGTGTATGTGTGTGTGTGTATGCTAATATTCTAAATATATATATATATGTGTGTGGGTGTGTATACACACACACACCATACACATATACCTAAATACACACACATGCACGTATATTTATATGTGTGTGTGTGTGTGTGTATATATATATATATATTTGGAAGCAGCAGTGGCAACCACTTCCTAAGCAAAACACCTCCAGAAACTCTATGAACTTTGATAACTGTCGATAGTTGTAGAGGGCCTTCAGTCCTTTTGTTGATAGGGTTACTATGAGACGTGCTTGACTCGAACGCAATAAACAACAAATTATATATATATATATATATATATATATATATTAGTTATAAGTTTAACATGAGTGAAAATTTTCTCTTGTTTATCTTAAGATTATAAACAAATATATTTGTTCTATGAATAAGAACATCCAATTCGATGACTGACATGGTATGAAGAAAATATTCAAAACTTATGCAAAACTCAATTTGACAACAAAATTATCCTAACATTATTAGGGCGCTCTGGTGGATTAGAAGTGAGGAATGGCACTACCAACCCAAGGGCAAATAGTTCAAATCCATCAGTTGCTCCAAAGCCAAAGATGGGAAATCTTGTGCAATGTGATTTACTGCCAAAGAAATTCATCTGGAGGGTCAGCTATGAATTGGTTCTGATTCATAATAGTAACAGTAGTCAAAAATGGTATATATTAAAAACAGCACCTAAAAAAATAACCTCATTAAATGAGGGCAAAAATGTTGTTGTTATGTACTGCCAAGTCGCTTGCGACTCACAGCGACCCTATGAACAACAGCCCTAAACTCTGCTCTGTCCTGTGCCAACCGCACCGTCTCTGATACACCCATCCCAATTACCCCAGTCACTGAATCAATAGAGGGCCTT